GGTGTTTTCCACGCATTAAAAGCATCCTGAGGGTTTAGCCATGATGTATATAATGAGGGATCTCGGAAACTTCCTGTAGCAGAAATAAGACAGCCCTTTTGATAAATGTAAAGCTACAAGCGCCTACATCTTGATCTCAGTCGTCCTGTGTGACCTAATCAATGCTCGGCAGATCAATTCAGGCCTTGGAAAAAAATCTGCAGAGTGGTCAGCCTGTTGAAAATACAACTGTTTTAAACAGATTCATCAGATTATTTAGAAGCATGCTCTTGTATTGGTACTTCATCTGCAAGCTATGCTCATCACTCCAGAAGCAGCTAAATATATTTTCAGACAACATAGCCAAGAATCCTATCATATATACGGACTTCAGTCTCTTCCTCCTTCCCTGAAATGCTTCGGGAAACACAGACGTCTCGGTTGTAAACACAACAGCCCTAAGCAATTAGACAACGTGGCCGTGACATTAAAATGTTTCTAGAGCGAGTATTGACCTTAGTGGTCAAATACGTGGCCTTGGGTTTTTTTCACTTTCATCAGACATGGTCGCAAAGAAAACAGTGAGATGTGAAACAAGAATCACTGAGGTGCTGTGGTTTTCCTTCTTACCTAAGTCTACGTTGTGCATATCTTTTCCTCGCAGGATAACCAGGTTGGCAATGGAAGTATTGAAATGCATCGGCTTGTTTGTGGAATGACTGGAGGGGATGGAAGAGCCTAGCTGCGGTGGTCGTACTTGCCAATCAATACCTATGAGATTTTGGCAAAAAAGATATAAAAGGAAGTTAATGTTTCATGAAATACGGATTCAGACTAGCAGATGGTAACTAACACTGTGTGCCAAGCTGAGATCATATTAGTTTGTAGCTTCCACACATTAGTTAAGCAGCAATTACACAATTCTTAGAGAAAACCGGTGCTAATCCAGCAGTATTTGCCTGGTAGTCACTAGTCTTACCAGAGAAAATGGATATTTGTTTCTATACTTAGCAATCTGCCAGCCCATTCTTTGCATAACTGGAAGCTATACTGAATTCCCCGTGTAAATGATATGGGAGAGCTAAGCATGATTTTTATTAGTAGAAGGTGTAGAAAGAAAAAGCATAGCAGACCTAACTATCCAAGGAATGTTCCAAATGAATCGTGTAAATTAAGTGCATGGCCAAAAACTGTTTGTTTTGTGTGTTTTCAATAGTTATAATTAACTGAGATGTCTGGGAGCAAAAACAGGAGCAAGCCAGGAGCTGCTGTGGCAGCTGAGTGAATAGGAAAAGGAGCAGCTGGCTATGTAGAGGCAAATTCCTTCTGTCTGAGGGGCGCAAAGGGCAGCAGCTCGTTTCTGAACTGACTAAAGCTAGTCAATGAGCTCCACAAAACAGTAAGCTTTATTTCATCTGTAAAAAATAAATGCTTAAAGAGTGATGGATACTGAAGATAAGTGAATGCTTTTTACCTTCCTCCATTTTAGCATTAGCAATGAGCATCTGCCTTAAATGTTTGATGAGTCCAGGCCAACTGAATGTGCTATAAGGGAGGGAATTTTCAGGCATCTGAGGTATGTTACGAAGACCCAACATCTTGAATTCGGGATGTGGAACTAACGTCTCCATTAAGTCTCCTGAAAGAAGAAATTAACAGCTGCTCATGTTTGACAAAAATATTGCATAGGCTAGCTAAAATAGAAGAGAGTGAGGAATTTTACAAGGATCTAGCAATTTAAGGTAAGAAACAAAGCAGGATATATAAAGTTTTAATTTGACAAATATATGGACACACGTCAGACAAAGCAATGCAAACTGGCTACGTACTACTGAGTTCTATAGAAGCATGTTAGCAGCTCTTATTTTACAATTTAGACTTGTCTTTTGGTAAAGAATGAAACAAGAAGCTGGGGTTTTATTTTTGACTCTGCTACAAAATTGGGATTGAACTTCTAATTTAGTCTTTTGCTTCACTTTTCCTATCTTAAAACTTGGGATGTATCCGAATACTTGAGTAAGGAGACCGAAGAACTTAAATTCACATCATGAAACGATTACAGAAATACGTGTGAGAATGCATTAGGCAGCTATATTATGGTTAGATACCTAATGGGTTTCTGCTATAGTGTAAGCCACCTTCTGCTGTGTAAGTGGGCTGGAAAACACTCCCCAGCTGATGTGCAATGACTTGATTTACATCCCTGAAAGAGATCTGTTTAATTTTCATCAGCTGAGCACAGATCTTGTGGATGACATCATTTTCATGAACAAGAAGGGCATCTGATGACCGGTACAGATGTGACAGAGTCAAAACAGAGTTGTAGTTTTGAACAATGACCTGGAAACAAACAAACAATACACACAAATGAGAGTCAAACAACTCAATCGCTTTCCAGTTTATAATCCTCTGGCTACTGGCATTTCCTCAGTTGATTTCAGAAGTGATTCATTTTCTTTGCCAAAGTGCAGAATGAGGTCAGGAGCTAGCAGAGCTTTTTCATGGAAAGAAAGCAAGACCTGTGAAAATCCTGTTATCCTTCTCAGTTCACACAAATGTGCTAGAATAAAATCTGTCTGGGAACTGATTATAATGCTGAGATACTATCATAACAGGAGATTTCTAGTTAGCTAGTAGAGCTTCTCGTGAAACTGTATTATACTTTAGCACTTACATTATCAAGAACTTTATTTTTTATTGTGAAACGACATGTACCAAGTATTAGCCAAACAATTCATTAGCTGTGTTACTTTCAGTCACGTTGAACTTTTTAAAAGTAAAACGTATCTCTTTTCTAGTTTATTTCAGCTGCAGGTATTTTATGTTTAAAAGTAAACAGTGATTATAAACTTGTAGAATATGACAGTCACCTCACCAGTGCCGTAAGGCCAGATAACATGGTTTAGTATAAATGAGGTTGGAAAAGCATCTCTTAAACACTGGGTCACAAATGCTCCCAAGCCAGATCCTGTACCACCAGCCATGCTCATTATTGTGAAAAATCCACCGAGTCGATCGCATTTCTCTGCTTCTTTTTGTACCAGATTCATTATTACTTCTTTGTGTCTAGGCCCGTGAACAGAGTAACTGTTGAATAAAAGACAAAACAGTGAGACATGGCAGGTTGTATCAAAATAAACGCAGTAAGGTGAAGCTATTCATAAAGGATACTTTTCTTATTATTATTTATATAACCCATTCTATCTGCAGTAAACTATCCTCAGCTGTGACATTTTGCAAAACAGCTGTTTATAAAGTGTGCGTATTGTTTCCTATTCTTAAATCAAATACATTCACTCTATTCTAAAATGTCACATTTTCGCTGTAAATAACCAATTTCACTTTGCAAAAAGCAGTTTAGAAATTTAGCTGCTATATATATTGCTATTCTAACTTAAAAATAAATCAAGCTAATGTTACATCCTCTGTACTTCACGCAGCTGCAATAGTACCACTCCTAGACAGTCTAGACAGCTCATTAGCCTCTATAGTTCCCTTAGCGAAGCTTGAAACAGTTGTTCATACCCATTGGCCCAGTTGTTCCCAGACCCTTGCTTCTGACAGAAGTGCGACCGATCATCGTATTTCCAGTAGCCAGACCTGGCAGCTATCGATAAGGTTTGGCTGATTACTTTAGGTTCCATGTCAACAAGCACAGCCCGGGCAACAGGTACTGGATAGGAAGAAAACCAAAACTAAGAATAATGTGCCAATATTAGAACTTGTTTATGTAAGATGAACGGACTTGCACCACGGCCCGAATTGTATTCCTCCCGCCCACATAAGCTGAACTATTAATGGGACAGTACAGACAGGTACAGAAAGGAGGACTTGGCAGTGCCCTGGATTTCTGGAGAACCGTCTGTTGTTCCAAAGGCAAAGCTGAACTCCAGAGACCATAGGTCTTTCAGGAAAGAAACCACTTTGTGTGTTTGGTAACACCAAATTCAGACACTCTGGGCACTACTCCATGGTATAATCTATCTACAGCAGAAAATGCGGATGTTTGGAAGGAAAGATTACGTATGCATATATGCTCAGTTTCCAGCTGTGTTACTGGCAGAGTTGCTCTGTGGTCTCAGACACATTACTGCACTGGTTTTGCTTCCCTTGTTGTTCGCGATGTCCTGAAGGCAGAGGGTTGTGACAATTCTTCAAGACTGAAGGTAAAACTCATTCTTCAACTGAAGGTAAAAGACTTTTATTATTTCTGTACTCTTATCTGTATCAGGCTGGAAACCAGACCCTCTGTGGGAAACAAACACTTAAATGCTGTACCTTCAGACTCCTCCTCACTGAAAAAGCGTTCTTTGCAAGCATCATGGTAGGATTCATTCTCCTTCTTGGAACACAACCCATGTGTGCCATGGACGTCACTGCAGATAGCATTGAACACCTCATGACCAATCTGATTACCACACTGACCAAGCTGGACTGTGACTATTGACATTCTTATTCACTTTGTATTTAAGCCTAAAAAAGAAAAGTATGCCTTTATTAACTGTGGAAAGGGGGGAGGGGGGGAAGTTCTGACAAGTAGGTATCTGATCAGTTTTGCAATTTTTTGGGAACCTCTGGTGAGAAGAAAAAGGCTATGGTACAACCGCTGGCTATTTCAGACTGTCAGCACTTTCTCCTGAACATTAGAACAATACAGATGGCAGTTTACAGGAAATCAGTCTGTTTACTGTTGCTGTACATCTGAACGGGCTGAAACCAACCATACAGCAAGCAAAGTCTTTGTTTTCTTACTTTTGCTTAGTAAGGCAGGATAGAAACAAATAATTATAACTCCAACAAAGTTATAGGATTAGGCTGTAAAAGCATAATAGGCATAATAAGAAAGGACCATATGCCTTTAGAAATGTGAAGCCTGTTCGAAAATCTAGCTGATTTCCAGTCCTGTACTGTGATGGGCCTGATGCCAAGATCTGCTGAGGTGACAAAAGGATTCCCTAGAGTATTCCCCTTGCTTCCACCACAGAGAGCAAAGGTTTTGATTCAGTACTGGTATGTTTTGACATTTTTTCCCCACTCAGCATTTTGCAGTAGCTCTGGTTTCTCACTTTTCTATTCTCCTTTCACAGAAACAAGGTCAATTTTTTTTAAACTCACTTCATTATTCTGGGCTGCTATTTTTCATTATCATCCCAGCTGTGCCGGAGCGCTTCTGTAACAGCATTCTTTGGATAACTGCCAGCGCCTGTAAGTTGATCCTGCTGCATTTTGCAGGCAGGTATGTGCTATTTTTGATTCCCGTGCTTGATTTCAGCACTGCTGCCAGTCTGCACCTCACAGCCCAAGGCCAGCCCGCGTGGTACAGCAAGGCCGAGTTACCCCTCGCAGCAGAAAATAAATAAATCTGTAAATGATTGTAAAAAAAGGCTCACGTCCAACCCACGCGTGTGAGACCGACCCTCCCGTGCCTCCTTCGGCGCGCTCTGCGCATGTCACTCGGAGCCGGCAGCTTGTCGCTTGCGCCCTCCTCTGCAGTCACCCG